ACTCCATTAAGTCTCATGAGCTATATAAGAGCTTTCTTTGAGCAATAAACTTTTTCTGTAAGACACCGAGATCCCTGTCTAGGCAAACCTGAGCACAGTTTGAGACATGTTTGAGATATCTTCTGAAACTGTAGTTTTAGTGGAGATTTAGTACTGAATGAGATCTCATTTGTGTTTGTTTTTGCTCTTTCCTGTAGGTCTGCTCCAGTTCAGCATCAGTTAACAGGTTAAATCCGTGCATCAGTCGGGATTGAGGTTGCCATGAGGACGGAGGTACTCAGGTCTCTATAGTAACCTTGTCCTGGAGGTGACTGAAACGATGGTAATAAGAGTGTCTCTCAGGATCTGCCCACTCACATATAAGTGCTGACCTTTCATACCAACTGCTGAAGAATTTTGCAAGTATGCAAGCATTTGACGGCAGGTTATTCACACATGTATTTGTGTTTCTGTTAAACATAAACTGTGGCACAGACACAGGTGTGCTATTATTATATATCTTATAAGTTTTTCACTTGGTACACTATAAAACAACCAAACAAATCTCACAGACATGCATTGAAGAGACCTGAGCCATATGAGCACACACATTTGGATTTGTACCAAATGACAGAGGTAAGATTATTTGAAGGTACAAATAGCCCATCATGTTGACAGAGGCTATTTACACTAGCTCCGCCCACCAATGTCTGGTGGAATAGACAACATTACAAAAGACACGTGTCAAGCAACAGGAACGGTGGCATAGGATGTAAGGCACGCGGCGGTCATTTTTGACGCAATCGACCCGATTACGAATCCACCTTTTGCCGAACTCGTTCTTCTCTCTTTTCCCATCACATATCAGATTGAAAAGAAACTTATTTTCAATAAAAATGTAAATATTTGAAAAGTTTAAATAAAGTGTTTACCGGGTAGGGTTAGATGTAGGGAGGGTTTTATTGTACCAATACGGCATCCATTTAATAATTTTAATAAACATGATAATTTACACTCAATATGTTATTACTGCATACTGTTTTGTAATGTACTACAATTCTGAGGTGCATATATCTGCCATTTTTTGCGTCTACTATTTACACTTATTGCAAAGCAAGTGCTGCTGTTTTTACATAGTGTAAATAGCATCTATCACTATTTGCACTTGATAGCTGCTGTCAAATAAATTTGTTTAGGGTTGTTGTTTATAATAAATGTTGTTTACAATGAACGTCACTACTTACATTTTCAGTCCTCTTCCGTTCTGAATACCTGAATCTTAAATTTAAAGGATTCATTATGGATTGAAGGGAACTAAACTTGTAAATGTTTTGTTTCATTTACCAGTATTTTACATTATTTCTGAATATAATAATAACCCAATTAACAAAAAATATATTCTAAGAACCTTTTGCTAGCATTCACATTCAATTATAAAACTGTTATTTCTGAATGTTCTCTGAATTTTTAATTTGGCAAACATTATGGGAACGTTACTTTTGAATGTCCTGAGCATTCTACAACAAGTAGTAACATTTAAAAAAAATGTCTATCCATTTCAGAAATAAAATCCTCCATGAATTTTGTATAAATAACATTTTCTGCTACTGTTTTGAGAACAGTATTAAATACTAAGATAACTCTAAATGAACATTCTGTTATAATAACTGGAAAAAAACGTTTATTAATAAGTATCTGTGGAGTATTTTGAGCTGAAACTTAACAGACACATTCTGGGGACACCAGAGACTTATATTACATATTGTAAAAAAGGGCATAATATGTCTCCTTTAAGCCATACAAATAAGCTGTCTTTGCACATTATTAATTTAACTCCATTCCAAGAGTAATTAATTGGTCTGATTTTAGTGTATCTAATGTGTTATATAGGGTGTTTTCTGTCTGTATCTCATTACATGTCATTCTCTGTTTCTCATACAGAAAGAGAGAGAGAGAAAAGAGCAGTGCAAATCCCCAATGTTCTGTTATCATAAAAACAGCCATTAACAAACCTACAAAAGGGCTTAGGAGGGATCAGATGTGAATGTAGAGGGGAAATCCTCTGTGGGATGTGTGCCGTGAGTCGAGGAGAGCACTGATGGGAACTGAAAGTGTTAAACCCAGATCACAGACAGACACACAGATCATTGTTTCTTCTTACTGGGTGAGGTTGATAAGGCTCATAGGATGAGGTTTGTAGTTATTAAGGCGAGTGAAACTTTGAATAATCTCGAGTAATTGCAAAACCCTATGCTAAGTAAAGAAAGCTTGCATTTTGTGCATTTTGTCTAAAAGTTATTCAGTAGTTTGACTTTTAATTCAGCCAGTAAATTAGTTAAATTCTCAAGTTAAATGCAAAGAAATCGCATCTTGCAGTTTATAAAATTCTTCTCTCAATTGTTCTGTTTATTTTTGTTTCTGTTCCTCATAATCACTAATACCCCTAACAGTGCAATATTTCACATTAACACAGATGGGTATTTAGCACAATCAAATCCTTGAACTAGCCCTGGCACCACAAACATCATCCTGTGGCTCCGTTCTGAACAGTGTTGCTGGGATTTGCAGGATTATGTCTCTGTGCACTGCGGAGACGGAGACGGTTAGTGAGAACCACAATGAAGGACTTTCACTCTTAATTCAGCGGATTATTGGCGTGAGATTGTTTATGCACAAACAAAAAACTCTCAGCGTTCATGGACTGAATTCATTACATTTCTTTTAAAGTGTAATTCTTTTAATGCAGTAATTCTAATTTTTTAAATAAATAAACAAAGAATTTGCTCATATGTGACCCTGGAGCACAAAACCAGTCTTAAGTTGCACAGGTATATTTGTAGCAATAGCCAAAAGTACATTGTATGGGTCAAAATTATCGATTTTTCTTTTATGCCAAAAATCATTAGGATATTAAGTAACGATCATGTTCCATGAAGATATTTTGTAAATTTCCTATACCATAAAAATATATCAAAACTTCATTTTTGATTAGTGATATGAATTGCTAAGGACTTTATTTGGACAACTTTAAAGGCGATTTTCTGAATATGTTTCTTTTTTTTTTTATATTCGGCCAAATATTGTCCTATCCTAACAAACCATACACCAATGGAAAGCTTATTTATTCAGCTTTCAGATGATGTATAAATCTCAATTTAAAAAAAATTTACACTTAAGCCTGGTTTTGTGGTCCAGGGTCACATTTAAAACCTTTTCAGTAATTGAAATAATTTAAGAGAATAATCAGTTGTTAAAAAGGTATATACTGTAGTCTCTAATTCACTCTTCCACAAATAAAGGCCTAAAATGGTTATAAATCGGAGCAGAAAGTCTTAAATTTAATAAAGTGGTGGCATTAAATGTTGCATGCACTGCAAAACAAATGAATATCTTCCTCTGTCGTTTTTCTTTCCAATACAAATTTCTAAGCATCCTTAAACCAAGATACATTTACTTGAGATGCAAAATGAAGTCTTGTTTTCTGAGAAACTGGTTGGTTACTAATGGGCCTCAGTCAGTCTCTGTGATATTCTGATCTCTAGATATGACTCAGGTCCCTCCTTTAATGCAAGTCTGTATATTTTCACCTGTTTTTTTTTTCATTCACCAGGTAGAAATCGTAAGTCCGATCACTTAGTACAGTAATAGAACACCTCTGCTCAACAAGACATCTGATTTGAGGAATGGTTCATGTCATGTCCCGCGCACAATTGTATCACAGTAATCCTCAATGCATCAATGCACTCGAAGATGTTTAGGAGGGTGCATCATAATCTCCTGCCTCTTTCCCATAGGAGAATCACTGCAGGTTTAATAGCTTAGAGGTTAGTGGTTACTAGACTGCATGGGACTGGTTACTCTTTAGGTGTCACATGAGGATTGGTCTGAGCTCTGTATGAGAAGACTAACACAGTAGGGTCAGATTAATAGTGCATTTTGGGTAAACCATCTAGCATCATATTGTAAAATATGATTTTTTTTAAATTTTATTTAATTTTATTGGGGTTCCTTAAAAGCATAGACGCATTTTTTTGGGGATGTTTGCAACGTATAGAGACAACTAGGTTAATTAGTGTAAATGCTGTGATTTATTTATTTGATCATCAGGGGTGTGTTATTTTAGTGTCACTAATATATTATTGCTTTTGTCAATATTTTAAGTTAGATTTTATTTTTATATTTTCTGTTTTAATTTTTAGTTAAAGTTTTGGTAATTTTGTAGTGTATTTTTGTCATTTTTCTTAATATAATTTTTTTAATCTATATATAGTTTTAGTGTTCGTTATTTTAGTACTTCAGATTAAACTAAATTAAAATGAAAATTGATGAAGAAAAATCTTTTTTTTTTTTTATATATATATTTTTATATTTTATATTTATATTCTATTTATTTATTTGATCTTATTATATTTTATGATTTATTTTGTTTCAAGTAATGACATTTTTTATGGTTTTAGTTTTAGTTAAATAACTCTTCTTTGGGAAACCTGTATGAAAACCCGTATTTTTTTTTTTTTTTTTTTTTTTAAAGAAACAGTCTGGGGTGGAATGCCCGCTAGTGGACCGGTGATAGTGACAATTCGATTTTTTGTTTTCATTATATTAGGGCTTTAAAGCATGCTCTCCTAATGACAGCTGCTCATTTAGTCATATCGTGAGAGACTGTGGTTAACTATCACAGACCTCCGATTATATGCCACATGTCACCATGCTGACCGCTCTGTGTCCTCACACGCAGAGACGACGCTGTGTGTTCTCAGATAAACCATTCATCCCTTTTAGGATTTATGGAAATTATAGCAGCACTATGGCTGTGTTTCATTTCATAATAATGACAATGGGCTTGATGAGCTCATGGTACACTGATACTGAGTGATTATCTATGAGGCCGAGCTGAAGCAAGCAGATAGATCTACATGGTCACCTTTTACAGAAATTATTCATTATAAATGTTATATTCACTAATTCACACTCTAAAACCTTGTTGAATTTATCTCAATGTAATTAGTGAGATGACTTACCCAGCATCGCTGCTGTATCCGCATATTAAGGCATCCTTGGATCCTTCAATTTTGTAGAAATTGTCTAAGGGAACAATAAAAAATTGTCTTACTGTATGGCTGCTACCTTGGCCAGGTCTCTCTTGTAAAAGAGATTTTAAATCTCAATGAGACTTCCTCGTTAAATAAACGTAAATAAATAAATAAACTAAAGCCCTAAATAAAATTAAATTACTTGAAATAAACATTAACTAAAAATAAAATAAAATATAAAAAATGTTTTTATTTTCATGATTTATATTTATTATTCATTATAATTAATCAATATTATTATTATTGTTACTTTATTAACTTATTTTATTTCTGCTAGTGGCCAATGCAACAGTTCTCATTTTTGTTTAATTTAAATTGAATACTAAAATAACTAAAAACTAAACTTTAATAAAAAATAAAGGAATATATAAAAAACAAAACCTAATAATAATAATGACAAAAACACAACAAAATTGCTAAAACTTTAACTAAAATGAAAATGAAAACAGACAATATAAAAATGTAATTAAAAATATTTACAAAACCTATAATAGTGCATATACTAAAATAACACTGCTTTGAATGTCTGTTTAGTTTGATTACAGAGTTCATTAGTACTTTAAACGTCTCTAGTGAATCCACTAAGCTCAGCAGTACCATGTTGACCTCTGTCATGTTGATCTAATACTGACTGACAAACGTTATCTTGGTGAGTTTCATTGATTTGTTTTCAGTACCTATCACTCAACCTTGTTCAACATTAAATATCAACCTATAATGCAGGGGTGTGACAGCAAATTGATGCGATTCACGATTCATTGGTTTTCAGTTCAATGCAAAAGTGATTTGTTTTGTAAATTCAGAAGGATTGAATGTGATTCAGTACATAGTTCAGCACACTGATTTGATTTAGTGAGCATTGTAACTTTTTAAATTGACAGTAGAATTAATGATTGCCGTGCATATGTAGCATTATGCCCAATAAAAATCAGCTGAACCTTCATTAGTTAAGAAGTCCTTGATGGAGAGCCAGGTCTTGTTGTTACAAACGAAGCTCCCGTTGCCAGGGTAGGTGGAGTTAACGCAGTGGGCGGGGCTACGGACACACTTCTGTCGTAGGATTCCCATAAAGAGCTGTAGACCAATCAGAGCGAAGACACTGAGACAGAAAACAGTGAGGATCATCACGTCCGCTAGCTTTTTAACCGACTGGATGAGAGCACTGACAATGGTCTTTAAACCTGAAGAAAAAATAATAATAAAAAATATTACATTCAAATAAATAAGTTAATTGGCTTATCCAGTGCCTGTATGAAAGTAAAGTGGATAGCGGGACTGAACCTCACCTGGGATCACTGATATAGTTTTTAGAGCACGCAGAACTCTGAACGTCCGTAATGCTGATACGTTGCCGAGGTCCACAAACTCTGTCACATACCTGGGGGGAAAAAACAGCAGTCATTCTCCAAGAGAGCTCAGCTCTTTAAAACAGTGCAAAAAGTGTGTGCACTGATTTATGTCCATGCAAAGTCATGATCATTTTGACTCACGCCTCGGAAATGAAGTGAGACTTATACACACTTATACACAAGGTAAACCTTTGTCTATTAAAAACATTTTTTCTATTAATTGAAAAAAGCTAAAAAAAAATAAAATAAATATTAGATGAAATAATTTAACTAAAAGAATATTAGAAATGTTGACTGACCAACTAACTGAAATTTTAAGTTGAAACTTTCAGGAACTGAAATAAAAAATAAATAGAAATATTTAAAAAACAAAAACTGATACATATGCACATTACAAAATTACTAATAAATAAAACCAAAATTAAAATATAAAAATAAAAGCAAAATATAAATAAAAACTATAATGTATATTATTATAATGTATGTATGTTATAATATATAATATATTAATAATACTAAAACACCAGTCTAGTTTTGTGTAAATCACCTTGTTCCTGTGAACAAAAATATATTTTTATATATTTATGCATATCATGTGTAAGTTAATGTAAGTACCTTCTTTACATAGTCATGACAGGATATAAATTTACACACACAGGGTAAGCAATTAATTTATCACACTAGATTCATGTTAACATATGTAATGGTTGTCTTGTGGCTATATTTTTGAAACTATGTAATTTATTGTTTTACCTCACTGTATTACCCCATAGACTTCTACTTTAACTGCTTTTTGTTCAAATTATTCCCTGTGGTAATCACATTTCACAAAAGCTGTACATACAGCATAACTTGTACAGAAACCGGAAGATTCCTCAAAAATCTTTATATGCCGCCTCCATCTCGCCACAGTATTTCACTAGTTAACGGTTTTGCCAGAGGATGTGACATTTGAAATCTGCTCCATCCCCTCGTGATTTTACACAAAGAGGCACCACAATAATCTAATCAGCTGGGCTTTATGAGCTTTGACCGTTTTGCTAAATTAATAACAAACCGAGTTGGTATTTTGGTGTCAGTCACACACCAGCATATTGTTCTCACTGTGACAATGTCATAAATAATACTTAGTATATACATAATCATATAAAGTTCATTTATTTCTTTTTGTAAGAGCCACAAATGTCACGGTTTCTTTCAAAGCATGAGAGGAGATAAACCCTCTAAACTTTGAAAACAGCTTGGAAGGACAAACTAGAGCAGTTTGTTAATGAGGGGAAATGTTCGTCCTGCAGTAGTCGGTCTCTCTCTTTCAGTTAATCCACTCCTCTGATTTGGTGGAGCTGTAATGCTGGATATTTAGGTCACCTGACAAATCCCGATCTGGATACCTGCATCCCTTGATTTACATCTTTCTTGGTTCCTCTCTCTTTAGATTCACACTCAACTGCAGTCTTGGGTCTCATTGGTTTGGTGTTCAGCACCATGGACAGCTCCATGAATAACTGTATCTCATGGGAATAAGATCTGCTGATATCTACTTAAAGAACAGCCCGTTTTTGTTTCTAAACCCTAGTTCATATTTCCAGTAAAATATATTCACACACAGCAAATTTCAATATGCACAAGATCCATTAAGATCAAACATTTCAGTGAATGACAACTTAAATTCCAGTCTGCTGTTTACACAAAGTAATCATATTATTTCAGAAGACATGAAATACAACAAATAAGTCATATGAACTATTATCATGATCCTTTCTGGTGGTGTTTTGTCATTTATGAAACATGGTAGTACAAGTCACTGTCCACTTTTTAGATTTAAAAATAAAGTATTAACAATAAGCTAAATTTCTCCTTTTATGTTCCAGGGAAGAAAGAAAGTCATACAGGATTGGACTGATATAAGGGTGAGTAAATTATGACACAATTTTCATATTTGTGAACATTGTTTCAGAACACTCAGTACTTTAAGTCCTTATCCAGGATGAGACAATTAACCCTGTAAAGCCTGACATATAAAATAATAGTTGGAAAAATTAATAAAAAAAAAAAAATGGAACAGTGAATTCAACCTCTAGACAAAATTTTCTTTCTTTTTTTGAAAAATGCCAATATTATTAATAAACAAAGTATTTAAATTTTTAGTTTTAATATCTGTATTTTTCAATGATTATGGTATGAGTGGCAAGTTTAATTTAGAAAAAAGAGCATGTGTGCAAAATCTTTAAATTAAATATGCCCCTGTTTTTAGAGTTTCAAACAGTGAACAAATAAAAATATCTTAAAAGACATCTTCTAGAGATCACCAAAATGATGCGATAGTAGTAGTAGTAAAATACATAATGTACACTGTATTTTTAAATATGCATAAACATTTAAAAACAGAATAATGGTATTGCTCACTCAAGGTATTTGGTCCACAGCGGAGGATCCGACATGGCCATGAAGCTGCAGTTTGTCAAAATTGTGCACATGATGAACAAGCTAAACAAAGTGAACAAGTTAAGGAAATGAGCAGCAGTTCAAGGTTGAGTTGAATCAAAAATGCCTTAAATATTACAGTTAAATTTCTGAAACTGAATTAAGATAGCAAAAAGCATGCATAATAGTAATGAGAACTTTGACTGAAGGAAGTAGAATTAAAATGGAATGGATTTTTTTTAACATTTAGTTTTAATATGCCTTTTCAGTACATACTCTATAGCATTTTTCTGTTCAACTTACTCAAATATGTTATAGACATGGGGCGTATTGTATATATTATTTTATATTGTATTATATATATTATTTTCAGTTTAAAAATTCTTTGCAATTCAGCACATTTTGTCTAACCCTGCTTATCACTTATTGACCTCTGAGTTGAAATTTCTACATGTTTTAAGCATAAATTGGAAATTGTCAGATATAATTTATTGTATTTCAGAATGACTGTGCCTGTGACGAGAGTTACCGATGACCCTCTGAAACATCACAGAAGTAAGTTAAAGTTGAGATCAAACTACACAGTAAATGAGGACTTTGCTATTATCTAGGTCTACGTCATGTCTTTAAAGAAGCTTTGAAAGAAGTTGCTAGCCTGCAATATTCATGATGCCATTTCTGTTTATCATAACTGAAAATATGGAAGGATTTTACCCCAGTGATAGGCAAGCATCTGTTCCTTTACTCGGTTTTCTGTATTCTGTATGTGAGGTTTTAACAGAGCCTGAACATGGACTCAGTGTGGGGATTTTCAGAGCCTGTCGCATTTGGGGATAACACAAGATATCGCTGGCCCTATCTGAACTGCTTATAATAAACATCCAGTCAGAGGACGCGGTATAGTGTTTAAACTAGAAGTGGGTCATTCTACAATTGTGCTGGAAAATTTAGTATGGATCATGTTCCTAATAACTTAACATCATGTTATTAGCGCTTTGCATTTAGCAAGAAAATACATAATATGCTTTTCTACTTCAAAATTTGATGTTAAAGGTGACATATCATGAAAATCTGACTTTTCCAGGTTTTAAGTGCTATAATGAGGTCCCCAGTGCATCTACCAATCAAGGAAACGTGAAAAAGATTAACCCAGTAACTTTGCTTTGCTAAGCCTTTTTCTGCAAGCATCTGAGAAAACCAGCGCGTCTGATTTCGCTCCCTTGGTGACGTGGCAAAGGGATCTCATTATAATATTACCGCCCCTAATCTGTAAGTTTCCACCCACGGCGCCGTTAATATGTTTTAGCAAGCGACAATGGTGTACCAGCTCTAATGGCATGGCGAAAGTTTGAGCAAAACATGCTAACTTTTCTGTCTTTGGCTGTAGAGACGAGCACAGAACACTATTTACAGTCCCAGCCTCAGAGGAGACGAGAGAGCAGTGGATTTATTGATTTATTTAATGTATATTGCTGCTGC